ATTTTGCTATGAATGGGAGGAGAGACACGGGCCTGTAGCTTTCAACAATTGAGGTGTCTAGAGTAGGTTTTTTAAGCAGTGGGGTTACCCGAGCCTGCTTGAATGCGGTGGGAAAAATGCCTGTGAGAAGAGATGTGTTGATGATGTGTGTGAGTGAAGGCAGAAGTGCAGGGGAAATAGCTTGTAGGAGATGTGAGGAGATTGGGTCTAGAGGACAGGTGGTAGGGTGGCTGGAGAGAATAATTTTAGAGACTTCATCTTCTGTAAGAGGAGAGAAGGAGGAGAGAAGATGGTCAGCTGTGTGAGTGTTTGCTGTGAGTTCCTGGGTTATTGGAGCCATGAACTGACTGCTGATGGATGTGGTTTTGTTTGTGAAGTAATTAGCAAAATTGTCAGCAAATAAAGAGGTGGTGGGAGGTGACCAAGGGGGACAAAGGAACTGAATGTTTTGAAGAGTGTGCGTGTGTCTGATGCACTGTTGATCTTGTTATGTAAGAAGGTAGTTTTGGCAGCATAAGCGTTGGTGGAAAATAAAGATAGCAGTGACTGATACCTGCTGAATCTTTTGCTTTGCCCCATTTTCTCTCCACTGCCCTTAGTTTAGTTCGCTGCTCACAGAGGACATCAGTTAACCAGGGATTGGAGGGAGTAGCATGTGCTGGTCTGGAGGAAATAGGACAGATATTGTCTAGGCAGATAGTTAGGGTAGAAAATAAGGTATCTGGCACAATTCACATCTAATGATGAGAAATGTGTGGGGGTGGGAAGAGAGGTCAATACCACAGAGTAAAGTCCAGAAGGAGAAAGAGACGTTAGATTTTGTCTTAATGAAACTGGCAGAGGGATTGGTGGTGCAGAAGAAGGTAGATGTAGATTAAAAGTAATAATGAAATTATCCGAGACATGAAAGGGTTTGACCAAGATGTTATCTGTGATACAATTGCGTGTAAAGATGAGGTCGAGCTGGTTACCTGATTATGGGTACCTGTGGTGGGCTGAAAGAGGCTAGGAGAGAGTGGAAGTCAGTAGCATGTAGATTCTAAAGGTGGATGCTGAGGTCACCAAAAGTACTAGAAGGCTGCCATCATCAGGGAATGAGGACAGCAGCATGTCCAGTTCTTATGGAAAGTTGCCTAGCTTACCTGGAGAGTGATAAATAACTACTATGTGGATTTTTACAGGGAGTGTGACTGTAACGGCATGAAATTCAAAGGAAGTATTGTTAAAGTTATAAGAGAATGTAAGGTATTTCCAGCTTTTGGAAATGAGGAGATTAGTACCCCAACCTCATCCAACCTGACAGGGGGTGTGGGTGAAAGCTGTGCCTTCATGTTTAATCCAGGTCTCAGTCAAGCCCAAGAGACGTAGAGCTGACTGAGTAGCAAAGGCTGGAATAAAGTCAGCTTTGATTACAGCTGACTGACAATTCCAGAGGCCCATAGGAAAAGAAAGGGGTGGAATAGAAGAAGTGTGGATAGGATGCAGGTTAGCATGATTGTGCCGTCTCCTGCTTGTTGTGTAAGAGTGTTTCCGCTGAGGGACAACAGGAATATAATGGAAGCACATGTTTAAAGTGGTGGAGAGAGGAAAGGAAGGGAAGTAGAATAAGGGAAAGATACTACTGTGCCTTGTCGGTGTCGTTGCTCGGTTGAGTCACACAGGTAGAGACGCAGGTCTCAGCAAAGCCTATAGCATGCAAATGGCTTGAAATCGCAACTATTGGGGTACAGTTTTCCACTTAAGCACAAATTAACAAGTAGCAAAAAGTATTTTTGTAGATTCTAATTACAGCTTACAGCAAACAACATGCACAATCAGCAATTTAAAAAATTCAAAATTTTTAAATAAAATAAGCAGTAAATGAATTAATCCTCCCTACTAGCAGATATTTATTATAAATAACAGCAACAGAAAACTCGTATTAAGCAAAACACTTATGTGCTCTTGCCGTGTCCACCGACAAATCACTTTTCTCCTAATGTTGGATTTGCCCATTAATATGAACAACCACCCGCAGATGGATGTTCACTCTGATGTTTAACTAGTAATTCTGTCGGTCTTCTTCGGCCTTCTACTCAGCTGCCCCTCCGCAGTCCCCAGGAATCACTGGCACAACCACAGTGCCCTAGCTAGCTACATCCACTGTAGACTTTAGAGTCATTGCCACAGTCTCAGCCTTTTGACCCATTGGCTCCACCATGGCATGTCATCGCTCCACTGGGGTCCCTCGTCTGCTTTGGTCCACCACAGACTTACAGGTCTGTGGCTATGCCTCAGCTGCACACTGTGTAGGAACTGAGCCACGCAGACACCAATGGTTGAATCAACAGATGACTTGATCAGAATCAGTTGATAAGAATTGCTTTGATCAGGAGAGCCAAAATCCAAAGCAACACTTTACGACCCCAACCCAGGTCATGTGACACCATCTGGACTGAGAATGACAAACTTCCCCCACAGGTTAATTAACCTCAAACAAAGAAACCCTTTCAACTCAAGGAATAACCGGTCAAATTTATGTTGTTTCAAACCAAGAACAAATGGTCAAAAGCACAGAAATGCATGAGCTAAACACCTGGTGAGTCTTCCCCACTCAAGACAAAGAGTTTGCCTTAAAGGACCATATCCTCTCTAAACCCAGAAACTCATAATATTAAAATGCATCAGATCATCCTCAAAACGATGATAAAGGGCTTATAATCAACTGTCATTTCATTGCATAACTCAATATCATGTCTGAAACCCATATGTGTGAACATTAGGCTTTGATCATGCATTACGCATGAAATTATTACTAACTATTGAATGGTTTATCGCAAGTCTATCTTGTTTGGTATGACTGAGTGAATCTCTTTCTCTTCCTTCCATTTCTTTAATCATGATGTTAATTAAAACCTGTGTAAAATGCATCACATCCACATGATTAAATTCATGTTTAAATTGTACCCAGGTAAGAGCAGGGAAATTGGAGCCCACGTGACTAAAAGATAACATGCTGATTTACAGTAATGGGAGGAGAAACAGTCACCCCCTGAACCGAAGACAATACCTGACTGTTCAGAGCTCCACTTGGGGCCAGAACAATCAGCTGGGTTTAAAACCCAATACCCAGAAGAGAAGATACAGACAGAGAACCAGATCCAGACCGAGACTCAGTCTCGGGCTCAGACTCTCCCAGCTTAGGATGGGTTAAGACCGGACAACATCCCATATCACTTCTTTCTTTTCTTTAGTTTCTTCCTTTTCTTTCCGTCGAGAGTCCCGTTTAAGTTAATCTTCACCACTAAGCTGCAGTCTATACAACTACAGCCTCAAACTTGAACTGACCACGAGACTCCGCTCCACTGGCCAACACCACAACCTGATCGGCCTCCCAAGATGTCACTCCAGCGACGAACAGACCACCAGTGAACCCACGTGGGAACCCCGTCAATAACAGACACCACAGAAGGAATCCCCATTCAAAGAGACGCAACAAACGCAAGTAATGCCTCTCATTCTGAACTGGTGCATAGCTATGAAATTTAATAACCCTGCCTAAGAAACGATAGAAGGGTTGAATTAATGATTGATGGTTTACTCAGTTAGGTCTTACAAAACTTGGGATTACATCATTTCACTCTCTTAAACTCTTTCTTCCTCACTTTCTTCCTTTCTGCAACTCGTGTGAATGTGTGTGTGTGTGCGTGTGTTTGTGCTAGCTTTATGCGTTAGATTAGTCAGTAGTGCGTAAGAAGTGTCTTGTGTTATGTTTATCAATTTATTGCCTTAATCTGCCGATCTTGTTACCGTGCTAAGAATAGCGTTTTCACTATATGTCGGATATTGGTATCTATTGCAGAGCCGACAGTTACGGACCGTTCAAATGAGCGCTGGACGATTCATTTGCTCGATCGTAAAGAGTCGATTCTTTCAAATTCCCCTTTAAATTCATTAATAATTCCCTTTGAGCTAATTTGATTTGTTTACCCCTACAACTGATTCAGCTCCACTGGTTTCCTCCATTACTCTGGCTATGTCTAGGTCTTCCGAGCCCCCATCTCCACCTCAGTCCCAATCCTTTGGTTCCGTCTGAAGAATCCCCCTAGCTCAATTCTTTGTCCGTTTTCAGTGTATAGGTTGGTTTACTTATTTATTTACTTATTACTTCTGCTTTGGTCCTGTGGTTTTTCTATACTCCAGAGTGTTTTTTTTTAGTCCATTATGACTGATGTCGTTAGATCCTCACCACAACTCTCTCCTTTTGCCTGTACCAAGCTGTGACCATGCAAGCCTTTTAAAGCTAGTTAAACAAGTTCAAGTTCAAGTTAAATTTTATTAGTCACATACACAATCATACACAGTACGACATGTAGTGAAATGCTTGGTACGACTCTCCACACAGAATGCAATAGACTATATATTAAAATAGAAATATTATAGAAGTAGTAATACGAAGAGAAAGAAAAACTGTATCCTAAGAAATAAGTTAAATAGTGAATAGAATTACAGTTACTATAAGAATAAATTAAACTAAGAAATACAACAATAAAGAATATAAATAAGAGAAGAATATACAGATTATTACAATTTACAGAAAATAATAATAATAATTGAATCAAGTAAAAAGATAGAGAATATATATGTACAAAAGATGTGAATGAGTACATCTCTGTGTACAGAGATGGTAGCAGCAACAATCTGACAGTATGTGTACGTGCAGTAAAGTGCAATTATGCTTGTGCAGTCTGTAATAATAAAAGGAGTATAATGTTAATATGGTGTTGTATAATGCAACTAAATCTTGTTGGCATTGTCGGCATTGTCCTGGTTCAGGACACAGATAGCCTGTGCAAAGAAGCTTTTCCTCATTTTCCTCATTGGTACTCATAAACTGGGTATGGATGATAGACTCACTATCATTTGTAAATTCAACATAATTTTTTCCATCAGTGTCTTTGTAAATGTGAACAGCAATGCAGATCAGTTCACTACAATTAGATTTTAAAAATATATTTTACCTTGACACATGTCATCATTCATCCTGTGGATCATCCCGGCTGGACAAACACACATGAAGGTGCCAATTAAATTGTTACACTCCATTCCTCTGGAGTCACAGTTATGAAGATCATTTGCACACTCGTCTACATCTGAACACAAGCAAGCTCAATGTCATCAAGAATGCTTTTTTAAAAATGCACATTAATACACATATGCATTTGTATTAATCTTGTATACTACGATCGCTTAGGGTTGGAAAGTTTCACACCAAACTCATTGATTACTGATAATAAGTTGTACCCTGACACATGTGTCCATCCTCTCGCAGAGTGTAACCAGATGGACAGCTGCATTCATACGCCCCCAAAGTGTTAATGCAGCGAAACACACAGAGCAGAGGATTCTGACTGCACTCGTTCACATCTGGACAATCAGTAATGACACACAATCAGTCAAAGACAGACATAACAACACATCCTGTATGAAAGGTCCCTCAGTCTATATCTCAGATATAATAACAGACTGAATAATCTGTTTTAGTCAGGATTACTGTATGCAATAATAATTATATATGGACTTCTAAGCAAATGTTTAACTATTCGGTGATTTACTCATTAGCTACAATAATGCCATGCATTTGAATTATCCTCAATTGGGGGGTTGTCATAGCAAATACTGATACTTAATTTGATTAATTAATTTGAATATAATGTAATTAATATGGGTAAATCAATTGGTAGCTATGTCGGTCCCACTTTATATTAATCAGCCTTAACTACTATGTACTTACATTTAAATTAAAGAGGTCATATGATGCTTTTTTAAAGATCATTATTTTGTGTATTTGGTGTAACAGAATATATTGACATGCTTTAATGTTCAAAAAACACATTATTTTTCAAATACTGTACATTATTGTAGGTCCTCTATGCCCCGCCTCTCTCAAACGCTTCGTTTTCTACAAAGTCCCTCCTTCAGACAAGTGCAGTCTGCTCTGATTGGCCAGCTGAACCAGTGCATTGTGATTGGCCGAACACAGCAAGCACTCGTCGGAAATGTAACGCCCATTACCAT